TGACTCTACCACTTTTCTCGCGAATCCTAACTTATTACCTTCGTGGACTCTGTGGCCTGATTTCGTGGGCTGGTCCGCTGCGCTGACGCGTTCGGTCTTTCGCGCTCTGCGTCTTCGTAAGAGAACGCGGATTCCCGCCTCGGCCGTTCTGCCGCTTGCCTCTTGTCGTCCTCTTCCGTTCTTCCTCCACAACCGTTCCCGTCTTCTTCCGAGTGCGCCTGCGATCCTCGGCCTCTTCTTCTTCCTCGCTGCTAAACCGGCGCCCTCTGCCACTCCACGCCCACCGTTGCGAAACCGTCCCTTGCACTTTACCGGCATTATCGTGCAAGTTCCTCCGCTCGTTGCCTACTTCTACTTTTACAAGCCAAGAACTTTTTAATGTTTCCTTCACAACGGCAACATTTAATTCCCGTGTTGTTAATTGAAGAAACCACTACTTAATCTGCCACTATCTCAGCGGACGACTCAACTAGAACGTCTGTTGCGAGCCGACATACTCCTACCTAGTCTTAGCCGTGCAAACGGCAAAACAATATTTAATGCTTTAACGAGAGTGTTGACTCGTGCGAAGCGTCGTGACTCAAAAGAGCAGGCTGCTTACTCGACGCGTGGTGACCAGGCCCTATAACTCCCATATAGACTGGTGTCGAAAACCATTACGTGGGCGCGTCTTGCTGCATCACCTTCTTGTACAGGAACTTAAAACCAGCGAAACTCTGCCAACGATATTTATAAAACGATCGTGCACCACTCTGCGAGGAGTTCGCGGTCGCTAAGCAGGAGTAGAATGTTTTACAAAAGATACGCTCTACGTTCGCCCGCTTTCTTCAGAGGTTTGCTTACAGTAGAGATTATGAAAACCTTGTACATGTAGAAGAACACTTTTCGTATTTCTCACAAATTAGGCATTTCGTACGTGGGAAAGTTGGCCAAGCCTAACCTTGCCCAGCTGCCACCCGCGACCACTAGCGACTTCTAAGTAGCACACCTCCGAGCTATTGTCCCCAATTTGATAGAGAGTTGCCGGGCCCTGGTTGACCAGAAAACAAAGGGATCTTCCCGTTCCGGAGGTTTCGCGTATTATGGCCGCGGCGCCTGCGCGCGGCAAATTTCTCCCGTGCAGGTCGGGGGCGTGGCTTCTCCCTCTTTCAACCCTTCACGAAAAGAAAACATAGCTCGCTAAGTTTCGCATTCGCTTATACGGAGGCCCAACGCGATACCAGGGCCGATACCTCCCGCCCTGCCTGAAATTTATTAGTACCTCGTGCCCTTACACGCACGGACATGTTATCGGCTCACAGTGTAATATCTCTCTGGAAATCGTGTGGCCGGTGGGCTCGTGTCATAATCCCGCCCTGGTATAATATAACAATGGGCAGTACATCCGCGCAAAGTTGAGAAAGGTCGCTAAGAAGACTAGAACAGCCGACGAACATCAATCACGCGGCATCAGTCGTGCGTCCCAATACCCGTGAGACATCGTTCACACCGGCTGGGGTGGACTCCGGCGAATTCATCGGCCGTTACGTTGGACTAGAGGAATTGATCGCCGAGGGAGGGCGAATTCCCGGCGGGCTTCGGGGCGAACCGAAGATTGCCGAAGACACCGCCGCCGTTGCCACGACGGCCCCGGTCGTCTCCAGAGGAAGCAGGTGGTTTTTAAAAACATGAAGGTAGCTTTGAACTTGCGCTTGTTTCCAAGGCCTGCGCATTGCGATTGGTAAATACTATTTGTAAAGTGTGTTCTCTGATCATTAAAATATTTTGATGCGCAAAAGAATTGATAACGAGTATCTTCCTATGCTGCGCCAAACTCCTGGAGACCCATTCACGAAAATGTACCTGTCCCTTGCATAATTTATTTGTCGTGTAAGTACCGCTTCCCAGGTACGTCACAATATATATTACATACATATATATACACATCTATTTCATTTATTTTAATTTTTTTTCTAAGTAACCTTTTGTTAACATTATCTTTTTTATTGCTGGTTTGCTAGGAGTGTTCCTACACCGGCTGCAGCCCTTTCATATTTACTTCGCCTATTGTAGATCAAATGTAGTAATTTATGACTTCAGTGGCTTTACCATTCTTTTTTATTTCTGATATGTTACACATATCCAATTTCGTCTCTGCAATCTCCATTATTATTTCCTAACTTCTGTTATTCAAGGATTTAACATTCCACGTCTCTATTCTCATTATTTCTTGTTTCTTAATCGTTCTCACCTTTTTCTCTGCCATATTTTGGTCATATTGTGAGGAGTTCCGAGGCTTGGAGTGATTTTCCGAGCGGAGTTTTCTTTTAGGAAGGGAAGAAGCTACAATGGCCTGAAAATCTCCCCCTTTCTCCGAGCTTGGGACCGGTAACGGGACAACTGAGGAACTCGTTCCCCTAGCACCCTCCACAGGCAGAGTTACCACACAATTCAATACTAAACAATTTGTTTAATTGAAATATGATTTAAATATAGTTTCATACATTTTCAAAATAGTTTGTGAATTTTGAAAACATAATTAAAATACAATTGTATGCAATGATTTTTCGATTCAATACCCTGTCCCCCCAAAAAATATCAGACTGACGAAAAAAAATCCCTTTATTTTATTTTTGTGTAAGATCGTTGCAATGAAAGTGAATAGTTTTCAAGTTATAAGCGAAAACGCTTAAAGAGCGATTTTTTTCTCAGTTTTCTCAGAGCACACAATACTTAGTAGATGGGAAAATTGAAATCAGAATTCAGCACCTCTTTTCCCCCCAAAACGTTCAGAATGATAAAGACAAAAATTTATATTTTTTCATGAGTTTTTTTCCACGACGTAACTGGACCATTTGAACATGAGACATACAAGGAGCTATTAATTGGCCTATTTATTCATATTTCACCGCAGGCAATGAATTAACACTGTATTTACATTAATGAATTCTTAAACTGAATAGAAAAGTGCTATGGTAAAGTATTTTAATGATTGTCTCTCATATGTAGTACTACATTGACTGAATTACTTGCAATACCAACAAAAGTGTTTGATTTCCTAATGAAATGAAAATTGAATAAATTAGAAATTGGTCTTTTTATTTTGTATTCAAGTTTCTAGAATATTAATTTTATTAAAACGAGATTCAAAACCGATTGTTGAAATATTAATCTTAATTTAAGGGCTGGAATGGCATCTGAAGTTAAAAAATAAAAGATTATTCCATTTAGTAAAAAAATATAACAAATAATAACAAGTATTTCAACAATTATAACATGTTATGATTCTGGCAAAAACTGCATTTCCATATTATAAAATATATGGCAGTTACTGAAAATGTCCAACATGGCACACCTTTTAAGTTTCTAAATTTCATGACAAGAATTTAAAAAAATAGTAAGAAACTTCATGAGTATGGCAGTAAACTCAGAAGGAGATATCAATTGAGAGAATTAAGAAAATTATTTAAATTTATGTTGACTTGTGATTTAAATTAGTAGATGATGACATTATTTAAATAAACTGTTGAACATGTTCACATCAAACAATGAATGAATAATAAAATAAAATATCTTGTAGGTTTTATAGTGGTTTAAAAAGTTATACATAATATTGTGTAGGTTGTTAATATAGTTTTTAAGAAATCTTGATGAAATAATATGATAAAAAAGGCAAATGCAATCTCGTTATTTTATTATTATCTATCTCAGTCTTCTGTTTCTTTTTTCTCAAAAGTAAATATCTCCAAAATGTCTGAAAATGAAACCATTTTGTTTATGTGGAAAATATGTTAAAACAATTCAGGAATAGTGTAATCCAACATCAAATAACTTGCTTGCATACAGTGAATTTTGTAAATCCTATTATTAATTTCCATTGAGCTTCATGTTGTCATTGAGAGTTCTTCTGTGAGAGCCAAAGTCTTGTTCAAAATCTTCTGAGATATATTATACATTTAATTTTGCTTATGAAGTTCTTATACTTTTTGAGTACAAGTTTGAATTATTTTTGTTGCCTGCTTCTTGCCTTCTCATTCCCTTCAGTTTTTCCTGGATTCTCTCTTCATTACATGCATTTAAAAATAAGACATGCAATTTTTTCCTTCAGTTATGAGACTTTTTACTCATTCACTGAGCATGTTCCAGCAATTTCTCAACTCACTCTTAATATTTTGTTTCAATCATATTTTATTCAATATTTATTGAATCATGTAAACTATTTACACTACTTATTAATCTTTCAAGAAAAGTACTCAACAGTGATATGTACCAATGGGAAACCCATAATGACAAAATAAAATTGTAGTACTAGCATTTATGTCTTCTTTATGTTCATTTTTTCCCTTTTTAAGCTAGAAGTGCTCTTGAAAAACAAGGTTTTTACATTAAGAGTAGAATCATTTTTGTAATTTTTTACCTAAGACTGATTAAATTTTTGTTTTGTTTTAATTCATGACCATTTAGATTATAAAGTTAAAGTAATATAATATTTAGTAAATAATATTAACATTGCAAAGTGAATAGTTATTGAAGGTAAGTAATCGAGGAAAGATTGAACTATTTGAGAGAGTATTGGCTTGAAAAGCTTATAGAGAGACAAAATTTCATTTGATGTATCATTCCTATACAAATGTATTAATCATTATATAAACGTACTCTTGTCAATTTACTTTCAAAACGTACAAGCTTGTGACATAAAGAATACTTGAACAGCGCGCCGATCAGTGCAAAGACTGTCGTAAGGTAGGCAACGATGGCTTCATAAATTCGTGCACGAAGAAACCGAAATATGATCTTACAATTTTCAAATGATGGTCGATAATCTGTTTACTTCTCTCATTCTTTTTGAATCATTTTAGCTACGGGGATCATTCGTTTTTTGTTTTTGTTTTAGAGAAATTACATTATTGTTTTCCAAAAAGTCTTAATGAATGTCAAATGCCATGTCTTACCATTACTGCTCTTTGACCACCCCTTGTACTAGCGTTTGCAGCTGACTACTGTTCGAGTTGACGCGAATACGTATCGTTGTGTCGGTGTGCTCCTGGTCGTGGACAGTGGTGACAACTAACCATTCTTTGTTGTGGGTGTAGGACAAGGGAATTTTGGACGGTCTTTGATACTGAATACGTTAGATTTGTTATTCTACATTTCAAGAATCTTCTGAAAAAATTCTCAACTCATAAATATAATGATGCGTAATCAGAAGGATACTCCGGGTGTTTCGAAGACAACCCAAGGTGAGTAAGACAGACCGCTTATATTTATTTAATTCGATGCTCGGATTTTGAATTAATTTACGGTTTATGATTTCGGAGTAAGCCCATTGATTTGAAATTTGATCTCATCACATGACTTAGTCGTCGTGATTTCTTGCAGTTTCATGTGAAAATGTTACGTTTGATCGCAGGCTAATCCTTTTGGTTATGATTGAAATGAACCAAAGGCATGCGTAATAAAAATATTGTAGAATATTTATTCTACAGTATTTTTCTCATCCATTTCTCATCCTTTATTATATCTTAATATAAGAACGTATTGACAGTACCATGTTTATACAGATATTTGGTCAACAATAATTTTTTTCTTAATTCTTATGGCTTTTTTTGGGTCTTTCACCTGTAAAAGTATTTTAAAGGTCAAGACTTTTTCATGGCATTTTTGAACGTAATTTTAAAATTTCATAAACCAGATTTGGGGGCCAGAGCAGAAGTACAAGAATTTGTTAATGTCTTCGAAATATTTTAATCAACCATTAATATTGCTTTTAGGTGCGTAAATATTGTGAATGTAAATATGTCAAGTTTGCAAATAACTTTTTTATATTCAAGATATATTCATATTATGTAACATTTAAATTCTATGCCATGTAATGCAAAGCCAGAAATATATTATTTTGCCATCTCAAAGAGTGATTGGCAAAATGTGTGGATCTAAGGTACGGACAACTTTTATCTTTATCTACAGTACCAACGGAATCTAGAGTAGGTATGAAACCTTTTTGGACATTCTATTATATTTTTGCTAGTTAGGCGCTTCTCGATACTACCCCCAACTGTTCAGAGATGTGAAGAAACTGCAAAAGTACGTGACATTAAACTAATTATTTTATATTCTATGTAATTGAATTGCGTAACTGTCTGTTCGATAACAAAGTTATATAATATTGCCCATAATACAGGATCGAGCAAGTACGCCCAATCCTGTATTTTGCGTAGACAGCATAACGTAGATTTTCTCAAGAGTTAAAGTCTTTTCTAATAATATTTTTGTAACTACCATGGAAAGCGAAAAGCAAATTGTCTAGAGAGATTGTATAATTACTTCAATTGTTTTAAAAGAAGTGTTGAGAATTGTTCCATGAACATCTATCTGTCTATGCTACTGAATAAACATTTGTTGAAAAATTGTTTCAAATACTAATTGCTTTTTATTTTTATTTGATAATGTATAATTAAAATGGAAGTAACCTTATACATTAAAAAAATAAACACATTTCCTTTAAACTTTCATTCTTAATATGAAAATGGAAGGATGGGGAAAAGAGTGGGATTTAACATACAAGAGTTCTCGCACGGGTACGCTAGTGAATAAGTAATCTAAACACATATTTGTTTTATGTGAAGAAATGATTACAGCTTGTACCATGTTTAATTAAAAACAATGACAGTGTGTGTATCGGATTAAGGAAATTTAAAAAAATCTTCATATGTTTCTTTAAAAGAACAGAAATAAACTTGGAAAATTGTTTCATGAATTGCTGGTTACTGCAACGTACTACATGAAAAATATCTCCATGAAGTGGGCAGTCGGCATCAAATTACATTCCATAGGACAAGTGGCGGCGCAAGGACGTATGGAGTCTAGAACCGGTGAAAATGATCGAGGGACCTTGTCGGTGAATTGAACCTTCTCGGAAGGCAGTGCTCTTTCAATAGGTAGGGCCACTCGACAGAAGGTTCTCGGTATGTGAAGCCTGCTAGATACATTGGGCTCTTGCAGTGGGAGAAACCTTTCTGGAGGCGGAAAATGAGAAGAGTCACCTGGCACGAGGGGACTATCAGAGCAGGCCGTGAATTGAGGGACCATGTACACTTGGAATACAAGACTTATTACCCATCCATGATTACTATTATCACACTATACCATATCCCGAAATCATACACAGAGTCCAGTCATCAAATAACAGCTTTCACATCTTAACAGTTTGATAAGATAAAGTCGTATCTTCAAATTGTAAAATGATAAAATTAAAATAGTAGGTTGACTTGGTTGACAATTTTGTTTTCGAAATTAAAAAATAGATGCTTGATTTAAAAGCAATTTTATGAAATGAAATTTCATTTGAAGTAACCAAATTGCTGAAGTGCTTTTAAATTTCTTCCTTCTTGCATTAATCATAGAAGATATGAAGATATAAAGTTGAGTCTAGTAATTTAATACAAAAAGTATTGCATAATAAAGTTAATCAAATAAATAAAACTCTAGGTATGAATGAAAATTTCAGAGAATAAAGAAAGTAAATCCGTAACTCTTTCTTTACACGAAACATAGTTATTCTGAGATATTCGTTAACTAATTATTCTAAAAAAATGAAAAGGTAGTATTACTGTTAGCTGGCGTTATTCTTTACTTTTCTCTTTATTTTTAACTGTCTCGTATATTTATTTTAGCTTGTGATTGTTTCTCCCCATTTCTCGTCCTTTCTCTTCTTCCATCTTTCTCTCTGCCTCTCTCTGCGCTGTCTCTCAATCCCCTCGCTCTTCCGTCTCCCTCTCATTCATATTCGTATTAACTCAGTTAGCTTCAATCACTGTTAGCCACATCCATTGCGAGGCTTAGAATGTTCCGCTTTGCAAGATCACGCATTCACTAATTCAGTCACTAATTCACCCGCCCAATTCAAAATTCTTGTAAACTCCTTTCTTTCTGTTTCCTACATCCTTCTTCTCTTTCCCGATTTTTCTTTCTTTCTTTCCCGGTTATCCTTTCTGCCTCTCTCAGCGTAGACTCTCAGCTCCCTCGCTTGCATATCCACATCGATTGTGAGTCAGTATCACTTAGTCACAACTATTTTGAGACCTGGAATATCCCACATTGCAATATCATGTATACACTAATTCAGTCACTAACACATCTGCTCAATTCAAAATTCTTATAAACTTGTCTTTCTCTATTCTTTCCGTTTCCTCCCTTCTTCCTCTCTCTCCGTCTTATCTTCGCAGAGACACGTGATTCTAAAGGCGACTGATGTCTCAGGGAGGCGCTCGCTGAGAAATAACACGTTTAATGAAGTTTGAAACCTGATAAGGCGAGGGATTCGCAGACCGACTCGTGGTGCGAAAAAAGTGGACGCATCGAAGCGAGGTAGGACATAAATAGCAACGGGACGTAATTTGTAGCGAAACGGAACTGGCGCGGGACGAGCAGAGAATGTCGGAGATGGTGGCGAGATTGTAAAGCGATCGTATGATTTTTAGATTTTATTTATCTCATTACATCCATGCATAACTCGTGATTAGGTAGTTTCCTTGATTTAATTGCTGCTGGAAATAAAACCTGGTGGTCCTTCAACAGCACATTCTTTCTCGCATTATTTCTAAATTTGCAATTTTCAAAAATTCAGAGAGATTAACGAAAGTGAGACCCATGCTATTCTATGAAGTGTCCGTTTTACTATTTAAGGAGAAAAATTAAAGAAAAAAATGAACCGGTTGTAAAAAAAGAGTTTTTGAGAAATTTCATAATTCCAAACGCAAATTACGCGAAAACTAGTTTCTTAAAAAAATTGTACATGATAATTTTTAAAGAACTGATTTTTACTTTCTCGCTACCGCTACCGCGGTAGAGAGAAAGTTATGTAATGCTGCGCGAAAAAACGGGGAATTTTCCGCAGAAAAACTCTTCTTACAGAGTCTTGGTAACGAAAATGTGAACATTTACTAAACTTAGTTAGCTAGTTAGTTGCTTTTTTTAGTTAGTGAGTTGCTAATTTAATAAAAAATCTGCTAACGTGGTGTAGCCAGAATCCATGTTTCCTGGGTTCTTGGTACCGAAAAGTCGATTGATGGCAATACGTCTTTCTGTCCGTCTGTGAACAACGCTAGCGGCTAAAACATTCAGCCGATTTTCTCCGAAATTTATATTTCTCGATCAATCTAGCTGATGTCGCTGCCCCTTAAATTTGAGATCGATATTTTAATTTTTTTGGGAAGTTCTTTATGTAAAGTCACTGAGATATTTTAAAAAATTAAAAAGAAATGGCGCCATCGGTTTTGATTAAATTTTGTTGTTGGATAGTGTAAAGAGAATGGTATGTATGTAGGTCTCATGCTGGTAAAAATTTTTTTTCGGCTTAAATACAACCAAAGTATTAAATATAGAGATGTTTCCTCTCAATAAAATCTGTTCCTTAAAGATAGATTTTAAAATGTCGTGTACAATTTTTCAAAATTTGAATATTTTCGCGCAATTTTGATTAAAAAGGCAATTTTTAATTTTGAAGCAATTTTATTTTTCAAAAACAGGTCCACAACTTTTGATGAAATTATGGTGTTGGATAGTCTGTAAAACGTTTAAGAAAATGGTGCAGGTCTCATGTTGGTTGAAAACCCTGATATTTCGAAAATTGAAAAATTAAAAATTTGTTAGGCGTCTTCCTACATCTAAAATTATAAAAATACACGTTTTGATTAATGAAATGCGTTTGTTAAAAACATAGCTTTAAATAAGGTCATGTTGCTTAATTTTTGAGAAAATTGTGAAAATAATTTCAACGCTTCGTGTAAAGTACCCTCAAAAATTAAAGAATTCGTTTGAAAATTCCAAAGCACTGAGTTCGTTTAAAGCGATCGGGAAATAACGATTTTGGAAAAAATCAGCTAAACGGTCTATGCTCCAGCATTGAACACAGGCGGACAGACACACGGTCACACGTCAATCGATTTTTCGGTATCAACTTTACTTTAAGTACTTTACTACGCATTGCAACATGATTTTTCCACTTTTTCGTTACAAGGGCCTGGCAATAAATTTTTCTGTCAAACATTCGCCGTTTTCGAACGCACGATTACATAACTTTCTCTAATTGTAAAGTACCCTTGTATGGGCGAGAAAGTAAAAACAATACTCTTATTTAGTGTTTGTGATTTTATTTCAACTCTATATTACGCGAAGAACCCTCCCTTGTATGAAATATGTAACTGTTATTTTCTCAAACTGGTCATACTGATGTTGCTTA